AAAAAAAAAAAAAAAGATTTCATGTATTAAGACAGGTAGCCAGCAGACGACTGAGTTGGAGGAATGCGAGTTATCACACTGCGCTTCTCGCCTAGTGTAACTCGATCCCGGATCGACTTACATTAAAAGTGATGGCTCAGTATTCCTACAGAACCGGTCGAATGAAATAAAGCTTACCCAAAATCTGAAAATTAGAACTTACCTGCACGTACCGACGATTTTCATTGAGGAACCATGTAATCCACGAATGAGGCTTAAATTCACGAGAGAAGCGCAGTCGGACAAGATTGCACTTCACACGGGGGGGATGTTGTGTTTGAAAGTAAATCAATAAATTAAATATTTCCATATTATTATATGAAAAAAGACACATTCAGTCGAATGTTCTAGCAAAATCAAGGCAATGAACTTGACGATTTCGCAACGTCAAACACGGCTTCATTCGCGGAATATCCTAAGTCAGGTGATTTTTAAAAATCAGTCTTGTCCTAGCTTCGAAACATGGAACGTCAAGGGGACGAACTCCTCGTGATCACTAGATACCTGTTTCCGGAATCAGTTAAAATCATTCTGGCCGGCGTTTATCTTGGTGGTTCGAGTACTGGGATAATTGATCACAATTACGCAGACCTTCGTAGTGGTCGATCCCATAACAAATTATCAATAATTAAAATTTGCGAACATCAATAGCAGGACAATTTAAAACAAACCCTTCATACTTTGTTCCCATTTTGTCGGGAATTGAAAGACAAGTGTTCGAGTGTATCGAGTTTAACAGCTGACGAGTGAGTACCCTAAATATTACGTTAATCTGTCGTGCAAGATTCCTCTTTCTCTCATCTCTTACGATTAAATTGGTTGTTTTATGCTATTGTAATTGAATGGGAATTAAATTAGATTTCCTTTTGATTGATTAAAACTCAATAATAAACTCTCATTTTACTAAATCTCATTACTGTTCTTGAAGTAATTAAAATATACCTCAACTCATATGCAACAGATGTGGCTAGCACTTCAAAGGTAAGGATCCTATCCTAAATAAATAAATTATTTTATTGCCCGGTCAGAGAAAATTGGTCGTATATTAAAATAAATATCCTCTCAATTTTCCGTATCCAACAAATCATTAAAAATCGATTATTATCGATCAAACGTTAATTTTCATCTATCATTGACCTACAAACCACCTGCAAACGATTCACTTGGTCCAAATAATTTATTTATTTTATTACCAAAAGTTGGAAGCCTAATTCCGGTAAAAATTTTAATTATTTAAAAAAAATCATTAAAAACCGATAATTATCGATCAAACGTTAATTTTCATCTATCATTGACCTGCAAACGATCCTCGATCGTTTGATCGGTCATTGAACATTCTAGGGTTAAATTAAAAAAAAAGATGATAACTTCCGTAGAAATATTTCATTTTTTTGAAAAATTCATTAAAAAAAAACGATGATCGATCAAACAATAATTCTTATCTATCATAGACCTGCAAAGGACCTTCAAACGATTAGGCATGTGCAGGATAATTAATTAGTTGATAATAAGCTGATAACTTCTCGGAGCTGAGATTGCTAGGGCTTATGGAAAGGCTGTGGCGAGTATTCATTGCGGCGGCTACGGAACTACGCCCAGAGGGCCCGTACGTGTAAGTAAAACAGGTCGCGAGCCCGTGAGTGTCGATAATTTTCAGAGTCCGTGCGTGTTGATAATGTTCAGAGCCCGTGAGTATGGATAAGACAGAGCGCGAGCCCGTGAGTGTCGATAATTCGAGGCGGTCGTGAGTGTCAGACCAGAGATTATAGGGGAGATTGCTAACGCCAATGGCGAGGCTTCAACCGCGAAATTTCCTAGCGAATCAATCCCTGTGAATCAAACAGGTCACGCGCGCAAGAGTGTCGGCAATTTTCGGAGGGCGTGGGTATAGATAAAGCAGAGCGCGAGTCCGAGCGTATCGATAATTCGGAAAGACCAGCAAACGCGCGACTGTCGAAAATTCCAGGAAATCGTGACGAAAGAAACCATCCCATATAGAGCGGAGTGGGGGTATGATGGAGAAACAATCGATGGACGGAATGAGAAAAATGAATTCACTTCTGTAAATTC